GGAGCGGGGGGCGGGCGGGCGGCCCGAGGAAAGGCAGCGACCGCCGCGGCCCGGCCTAGCGGCACCGGCAAGAGGCAGCCCTCGCGCCGCTGGTCAGGCGAGTGAGGGCGGCCGCCAGCTGGAGGCGCCGCTGACCGCTGGTCCTGGGCAATCTCTCTGCGTGCGCAGCTCTTGAACTTGTGGCTCTTGAATGTCTCTCCCTGAGTGAGTTTTGGATTCCGAGGATTCAACTGATGATTATTTTTAATGCTCTTACTTGAGGCAAAACTACTTTAGTCTTCCGCCAGAGGAAACGGTTTCCGTAACAGCACCAGAGGCTCCTCAGCGGGTGGACAGGGCAGGTGGCAGCCCTGGGCCGGTCGGGGGCAGCAGGTGAGAAGCAAGGCGCCGCTGAAGACCCAAACACACAAGCCCCAGCTTCAGAGGCAGACAACAGGAGTTTCCCTGAACTTGGCCTAAAACATTTCCCCTATCAAATAAGGCCATTGTTCTGACACGCTTATTCTGCAGAAATAAGCTTTGGGAAGATTCACTCATTTCTGAGCATCCTGTGCTGGATGTGCTGTTGGGGTGGCAGTGTTCCGCCCTAGCCACGCTTGGCTGGGCTGGGTCGCAGAGCACTGTGTCCATTAGAGGACACTCCACATTATGGCCTCAACGCTTGCTGGGCTTATTATGGCTTCCATCCATCCTTTTCCTACTATAAACGAACTTGCTGTGAACTCCTCTGTAGACTTTTGGGATGCGAGCATACATTCTTCTTGAGATGTAAACACAGAGGATTAATGTTACTAGCTAACAGGAGAGCTCTACTTTCAATTTTGTGAAAAACTAAACATATTAGGAAAGTGGTTGTGTTAAATTACAATTCGAGAAACGTGGACAGGAATCCCGTGCACGAAAATGGAAGGAAAAAAAACAACTTTAATCTTCTGCTTTTCTAGGTTTTCATTTGTTCACGTTTTTCTGAATACTGAAGGGCATCGTTGGTTGTGGCTGGGGTCAGCTTGTGTCACCACCAGCCTCCTCGGGTGGAGCAGCAAGCGAGCATGTGCAGACAGTCCAAGGTGGCCCGGCCAGGCGGAGACTCGGACACCGGCTCTGTCTCTCCCCAGCCCTGCCCTTGGCTCCCGCCACTGGAAAACAGTTTTGTGCGCCCGCTTTAGATGGCTCCAGGCCCGGCCTAGCTAAACCTGGGCACGCGAGCAGGGTCGGGGAGCAGGTGTCTGTCGATGTCTTTAAATCCTGAGCTGGGACCTGGAGAGACCCCAGTGGCCCAAAGGACACCAAAGAGGCGCGGAGAGAGGGTGCGAGGAAAGACGCGCAGGTCAGCGCGCCCGAGGGTGGTCAAAGGCCCTCGAGTCCCTGGTAGACTTCACACCCATACAAGCCAGGCCAAAAGGGTGGCCAGCACCCACTCAAATCTTAGGAGACTGAGCGCATGAACGCGGCGTCCGAACTGTTGCGCGAGGGGTCGCCCACGAGCTCAGACTCCGCGGAGCAGCGCGTGGCCCTGAGGGAGCCGGAATCCTGCAAGCACATTTGCGCGCCAAAGGCGAACCCCAAGGTCTGCTCCGCGGCAGGAATGTGGGGGCTAAAGGCCTGGTTGGCGGTAGGCGCAGAACCCTGAACAGGACCTCTCCAGGACCGCGCTTCTCACAGCTGAACCTGACCGGGGAGACCAGGGGACAGTATGCCCGGAGGCAGGAGCAGCGCGCCCTCCTGGGACCAGGGGCTCGCCTCAGACGGCAGCCCGGTTTCCGTAGTGTAGTGGTTATCACGTTCGCCTCACACGCGAAAGGTCCCCGGTTCGAAACCGGGCGGAAACATCTCCTTTTGCCGGAAAGGGCGATCGCCGCGGGCCACGGGCGCTGCGAGCCCGGCCCGCCAGCTGCCCCTCCCTCTGCCACAGAGACTCAGGTTCCCGCAGGCCGTCGGCCCCCATCCCGCTGGGCACCGCGCCGCAGAGGCCCAGTCCGGCTCCTTTACATCGGCGCGCCCCTCGGGCAGCGGGGCACTGCCCGGGGAGTTTTGCTCCGCGAATGGTGCGGGCCAGCGCCCCGCACCGTCGCAACGCGTGAGGCCGGGCGCTCCAGGCCCTGGGGTGCCGCGTGGGCCGCGGAG